GAAAGAAAGAAAGAAAGAAAGAAAGAAAGAAAGAAAGAAAGAAAGAAAGAAAGAAAGAAAGAAAGAAAGAAAAAAAGAAAGAAAGAAAGAAAACCCACTGAGAGCACAGAGCAGTCCACGAGTGTTTATCCAGTTTGCAGACAAACTAGACTAGGATTCTTGGTGAATCCTGCCTCTTTTCGGCCTCTCTTCTACCATCAGTCTGGGAGCACCAAACAGGGCCCCGCTGTTTAGAGGCCACGGGGGGGATACTGTGAGTATGGCTCTAGATTCACAGTAATGGAGACCTGAGGCCAACGCCAGCCTCGGACACTTCCTAGGTAGCAGTGTGACCCTGAAATCCCCTCACCTAGGACCAAAAAGAGCCCCTATTTCCCAGGGCTCCTGTGAGGATCCCCATGAGATGACAGATGTAAATCACTTGGCAGACTTTCATTAAAGGGCCCTTTAGAGAAGAGTTAGAGCTCTTCTCACTATGCTGATTTCATGGGTTATCACAGCCCCACAGCTCCTCACACCTGGCGGACAGCCCAGTAATGAGCCTTTCCGTAGCCTCAGGCCACAACCTCTGCCAGCGTGACAATACCCAAGAGAAGGGCCCTGGGTGACCCCCCACACACATAAAGATGCCCAAGGAGGACTTGATGTAACATAAAGATACCTGAGCTACCCCCTCATTCTACCCGAGGGTCACTTCCTTGTGGGAAGAGACCCATCTTATTATCTTAGCTCTTTCCCCGTGGCCTAACCAATGTTTTGTACATCACAAGCATTTGGCAAATGTCTGGCAAGTTGAATATACGTGAAGTATACAATACCTTGTTTGAAATCCACTCTTCTCCTCAGGTAATCAAGGTATGCCTGCCAAATCTCCACATAATCTGTGGCCTGAATAAAGCCAGCATTCAACGCTTTCTCAAAGTTGTCTGTGGTTAGAATAAAAAAAGCAAAGTAAGTTTTCGCTTTGAAAGAATTAAATAACTGGCTGCAATGTCTATAATCTCCACTAGATATAAAGTGCTTAAAAAACAAGAGTTAAGTTCTGTGCTACTTAAATAAACAGAAACAGTCCCTGGGAGTACAGCTGAGGAATCCGCAAACTGACCTCCCCTCTCTGCTGAACCTCAGCTAATCAGGGATGACAACGCCCATGCCCTCTGCCCCAGGGACCCCACGGCCTGGCCCATTCTCTGAGGAACCCAAAGGCAAGAGCAAAACGCTGCTGTACACACGTACACATCAAGACATCAACAGCAGCCCCTTCTGAGGTAGCAAAGACCTGGAAATGAGGCAGAGCCCCTTGACTGAGGACAGTTGAACAAATGGTAGGGCCCCTTACACACGGGAAGATGCGTGTAACTCACACAAAGGGAACCAGGAACAGGAAAACCCATGGGATGACAACAAGGTAGCTCCAAAGAACCATCCCCCCCACCAAAAAATCACAACTGAATGCTGTGAAATGAGAAATGACCAAGCTTGGACTGGAGAAGAAATAGAAGAACGCAGCTCCCGTCAGGGAATGTGGGTGTGAACATGCCATGTCCAGTTTTGCTAAATCATTTTCCCCTTCTTTTTATTCTTAGAAGGAACAGTGCTCCAAGAAAGGGAAGGATCTTTTGGGAAATGATGATGTAAAAAGCAAGCACTGCGATAAAAACAAGTTTTTCCATAAACTCACTGAAATGACCATCTTCAGCACTGCTCTAGGATGCACACCCTGAAAGCATGCAAAGGCTGGTTGGAGGTAAAAGTCATGGAAGTATCAATCATACAAGTATAGCATTCCCACAAAAACATCCTTACCAGAAACTATCTGATGATCAACTCCATGTCTTTCCATGGCTAAGAGATACCGGTTCCACAGTCCAACCGTCCAGGGACAGTTTCTAACAGCACGATCATGTGCAGATAGCACCAGATCCTTCATCTTCAGCTGCCGATCCTAAAACAAATAATCCCATGGTGGGATGGGATAGTGTCCAGTTGGGTATTCCATACAAAATGGGGCACAATGCTGCCAGTGCTTAATTAATATCAAACAATTTCTTGCAAGGATGGCCAATTACCTCACGAAGTTTCTTTATAAATGTCTAGACCTACTAAAGCATTTTGAAACCATCACTTATATTGATGCATTTCAAGCAGGTAAATAAAATGTTTTGCTTCCAAAGTCAGTCTAGGAAAAAGCTGACCAATTTAGTATTTTCAGAAACATTTTTAGAATTTAGGAACTGGACCAAAAAAAAGGAAAAGGAAAGGATGAGCAGAGGAAAAAAGAATGCAGCAATTTCTCAGTCTTCTCACAATTTTCTTTCAATAAACCTTTCATAATTAAAAAGTAAAAGTGATGCCATCTCGCTGCACTTACCAGATATTGATTATAACGGGCCCACAAGTCTGGAACGAGGCAGTTCTCAGCCAGCGCACGCTCAAAGATTAACTGAATGCGGGCAGGATCTCCAGCTTTCAACTCAAAATCAATATATGCTTGATACTCAGCTAGCTTCGGAGTCTCTGCTACCAACTAATTCAGAAACATTTAGGACAAAAATTAAAACAGGTTCCTCGATATGGTTAAGGAAAACAATCCATCTCAAAACCAAACCAGAACTTTAAACACTGATGGTGGCCTGACAATCAGCTACACAATGGCATGTCTAAAGCCACCTTGGCTGACACAGACCCACAAGGGACTGTCACAGCGAGGCTTGTGCCAAGTCTGCGGCAAAATGATTACAAAGTCTATCCATCTGGGAATACAAAGAGCACTCAGATGTGTGCTTGACAGACAGACCAAGAGAGAAGTATTAAGTCTGACACTTATCACGGGACTTACTGCCGAAAATGATCAAGAACAAGAGTCTGGATTCTTGAATCAAAACTAACAGCCCTCAGTAGTTTATCACCTTTACTGGGGAAAATGAAACTCAAGGACATTTAGCTAAAATCTTATCAAGAGGAAGAAGTGAACAAACCATCAAAAGAAATCTACTGAAATGAAATATAAAATAAAAAATTCAATGAAACATATGCTACTGTGATTTGTCAGCATATCCCTGCCCTCCCTGGGCCCTGCTTTCTCCTCTTCCAGGGCGTGGCGGGGGGGGGAGGGGGGAGAAGGTGAAGCTGGGCTCTCATCCTGGATCTCTTCTAGCTCCAAACTTCAACAACTTTACAATTTTTCCTAATCAGATTTTGCAAATTCAACTATATCTAAGTAAGAGAGACCAAAAGGGGACATGGTGCTCAATGACAAGCTTTTGTTTTATTTTATGAAAGCTAATATGCACATTTTTAAAACGCACACTATAAATAAGCTTCAAAAAAGTAGGATTTTTAGTTTTAAATAAGATCATTTTTGGCTGTGTTTATTAGATGTTTTTGTTAGTGGTTACTAAGTTTAGAATAATTTTTAATTTAAGTATGTTGTCCCAACATATATGCCTCATAGAAAACTGAGCAACTAGGATGTTGTGTTTGGTTTAATTTTCTGGTTAACTGGAAATTACACATAAAACCTTTCAAATTTTATCTTCATTGAAAATCTGAAGCATGTAAGCCCCTTGTTCTGTACTAGCAAGGTGGTGAAGCAGTGACAAAGGCAGCTTTTTTGATCATCCAGGATTTCAAAATGCTCCAAGGGTCCCCATTCTTCGTCTGCCTTTCCTTCCCATTTTCCAATACTCCTCATTCTCTGCCCAACCACACCACCACCTCAGTTTGCGTCACCAACACTATCCTACCCACAGAAGTGGGGACAAGCCACCTGACCTCTGACCCTCAATCTCCTCCTCTGTACCACAGGATAGTCCTTGCAGCACCAACTTCCTCGAGTGATTATGGGGAAAGGACAAAACTTCCAAGAGCATCCTTTACCTCTGGGGCAAAGAGGAAGTAAGCACTCACCAGGGCCTCCTCATAGGGTTTACATTTCTCCATTTGCTGTAATGCTTTCTTATAGCTCTGCGTGACAGCTTCCGGTATTGGGTCGTCTGACCACTCCTCATATTCAGCATAGGTGGCTTCCATATCTGGGAATGGATAAATTCAGTTCCATGATCTAGCTGCCAGTTTCCAAACTACTCCAAACTCCACATACACTCTCAACCTTCACTGAACTCCACATGCTTAACTGCATATCTCAAACTGAAAAGTGGGTCATGAGGATCAGAGTGTTGGAGCCAGAAGGGTCTGAGCACCCATCCAGACCAACCCTCTCATTTTACAGATGAGGAAACTGAGGCATCAGAGAGGTAAGGTGACTTATCTAAAGTTATACCTAGAAAAAGTCGTTAAGTTCCTCCTCTTGGTTCGAATTCTTACTTACAACATCACTAATGTGAAAATGTGTTTCACAGGAATGTACATGTATAGCCTATATCAGATTGCATGCTGTCTAGGGGAGGGAGGTGGGAAGGGACAGAAAAATTTTAAACTCAAATATATGGAAGTGACTGTTGACAATTCAAAATAAATTAATTAAAAAAAGGAAAGAAAAGAAAAAGCAGTTAAGCCAGGATTCACACCTGGATCCCTATATCCCAATTTCCAAGCTCCTTCCACTGAACCTCACTGCCTCTGTATGGCATTGAAATCAACTTGGGACTAGAAAACATTAACTTAGACAGAGGGCCACCAAGAAGGAAAGTAGAGGGAGACGGCGGGACAGCCCAGTCTGAAGCCGACGCCTCTCAGTCCCAGTACCAGTGTTCTGGCAGGGCCTCTCCCACATCTTGTTCTCAACATCCCTGGGCACTAACCACCTCAAACTGTGGGCATAGAAAGGCCCCTAGAAAATGCCTGCCAAAGGAATTCTGTAAAGGCCAGGCACAAGAACCAGAAGGAGAGAGGGACAACGTGAGCCCAGGTCCAAAGAACAAACCTCATTTTCCCCATTTATAAAACACGGAAGTTGACTAGATGATCTCCAGCTTCTTTCTAGCTCTAATCTCTAATTCTATGGGGAAAATAAAAAGCAAAAAGAATAGAGTCAAAATTCCCAGACTAAGTATTCTTTTAAGAATTCCGTTCACCACTATTGCTTCTTTCCTTCACTAAAAACACAATATAACTTGCCAAAACTTTGCAAATTGGGAAAAACAACCCAAAGTCTAGAGTAATAATACTCCCAAAAGGAAATACTTCCAATTAAAAATCTCTCAGTCTCATGCTCCTCCCTCCCAAGACACCCCCCCTCCCCCAGTGAAAGCACAATTTATGTATTTCTGCCTTCCACCTCATGCCCCACTCCAGGTGAGCTTGCCCCTTCTATGAATCAGGCATTCAGAAGCCCTGGGTAGAATTCTAGATTCAGCTTTAACACACACTGGCCATGTGACCTTGAGTGGGGTAAGCCCTCCATCTCTTAAGCCAGAGGGCACAATGGTATCCCAGACTCCTCACCTAGAAGTGGGACCCCCAGCTGGCGGCGGAAGAGCGCGTGGACCCTCTCAAGCTGCAGAGCCAGCGCCTGCTGCTGTTCGGGCGTCGGGACGCTGCCGGGAGCAGGCTGCAAGAGCAGAGCAGGACCAATACGTGAACTCCTCTCATTGTTTCCAACAGAGATTCCTGTTTTCACCCCCACACGCAGAGTCCATCTCAACCTAATTCCACATAAATTTTATCTCCTCCCCCCAAGAAAAGAAATGCTGAAAACCAAGCTCCCACCCGACCACCTCGTCCGAAGGGCGGAGAAGGCATTGTATCTGCAGTTAGAAACCCAAGGATGCCTCCAACTCTGCTCCCCACGAGCAGGGCAACCTCAAACACGTCAGCTCCCCACTCAAGGCTTCAATTTTCTCAGTTGCAAAATGGGGGGAAAGACTATTGTTAGGTTCAAATGAGACAGTGGACGAAAATGCTTTATAAACCTTAAACCACTATATAAGTATCAACCATGACTGCCAGCTGTAACCTCAATGCATCCCCTCTTGTCGTAAAAGCCACAAGTCATACACTCTTTAATAGTAAGGAATATATCGATTAGAATGTGATACAAGGTAACATAACAGAAGGAATATGTAAAAATACAAGGAAATGGCAACAAATTTACTTCCCTCTCAAAGGCTTACTATGATATATATAATTTGAAAAGAAAACCTTACCAAACAGCATTACTCTCAAGCTTCAGAAACTGCTAAAGGAACCTAGAGAAGATGGTGTCGAGGCCTTTCCTAGGCTGACAAAGATGCTGGAGGTCACCAAAGGGTTACACACTTGGAGCTGAAAGCAATCTTCAAGGTGACCTAGGTCAAACTATTCACCTACAGCGAGGAAACCAAGGCTCCAAACAGTTCAGTGATTGTGGGGCCCACGGCTGTCTGCCTAAACCGAGACCCCCTGACTCCGAGGCCTTCACCCTGACCCTGCTTCCCCTCAGGCTGCATGGTGGCAAATGTAACACTGTGACCTGTGTGGTCACCAAGACCACACTAACGTCCCATGTCCTCAAGAAAAACTGACAGACCGCGCATGCCTGCGGGGAGCCAGTGCTCACCTGGGCTGTTTTCAGAACCGCATTCTCAAATTCACGATACGCCTCCCACATGGCTGCGCCTTTGGTCACATGTAAGCCAACAGCGGTCAGGGCTCTTTCAAATATGGAACGGACCTTCTCGATCCCACCTTCCTGACCAATCCCACCAATTGAATACTGAGCATATTCCAGCCAAATTTCAGGACCTAAAATAAAGAAAATTCTACTTAGTTGTGGACAGAAAGTACTCAAAGTAAATAAGTTTAAAGATGGTGTTAATTCCTAGTCAAAAAAAAATTCACTTCTTCCTTCACCCTACACAACACCGAATTCACAAATTAGGTAACAACCTAAGCAGCATCAGCAAAACTGCTCTTGAGAAAAAGTTCAGAATATCAGAACCCACCCACCCACTCGTAACACTCTTCAAAGTCTATCGTTTAAAGGAATATGACAGAATTTCCATCAGTTAATATTCTCGGGGCAGAAGATACTGTATTAGGACTACAGAACACAAGAACACAGATTCGTACTGGTTTAAAGGACTCTAAAAGGTCCTTTAGTCCAGCAGCTGACAAGCACTCACAGACTTGTTCAAAGGATTGAGATGATGCATTTGAAAGTGTTCTTATACCCATAAATCACTACATAAATAAAACTATTATGACAACCACCCTGACAGGAAGATTTCTGACCAAAGTCACATAGATGATTGTAATGGCAGATACAGGACCAGAACCTGGGTCTTCTGACACCTCATCCAAGGGCTATTAACATCTAAGATTAACCTGATTATCATAAATGCAACATTCGTGGCTTTTGAAACACTTTCACACACATTATCTCATTTGAGACTAATGGTCACTGGGCCTGAAGAATTTCAAAGTCAACATATAAATTTCTCAAGTTCAACTTTTAAAAAAATGTACTGCTGAATGAGAGAAGCCTGGCAACTTTCATCCTTTCAAAGTGCTGACTCATTTCAAGATTTCTGCTGATCCTAGAGTTAATTTCAAGATATGCTAGAACAAGAGAATCCAGTGAGAAATACAGGGGTGAGAAAGAGCCCAACAATTCTTTGTTGGTCAAAAGGGGCTTTTAAAAGCAAGAGTTTCTGATTTAATGACTTACCAGAAAGAGAGATGCTTGCGTCTCTTTACTGTTATTCTATAATCACTTTAACCTTCAATGTACCCACCTTCCACTCACAGCTACAAAGTGAAATATGGAATAAGCTGGCTAATGAATGTTATAGGATATTTTAAGAAAGAACAGTTATTTTTAGGGATCTGATTCTCACAGTGAAAAGGTTTTGCTGGTTGAGGATGGGGATTGATAACAAATGTCATCCCACAGAAGTAGAAAAAAAATCTTTTTTTTTAAACTATTTATTTTAGAAAGCCACTTCTACACAAAATATTTACATGCATAAATTACATTACATGATATGTATAATCTATTACATAAAAAGCTCCCCCCAAAGACCAACGTGATGATGCCCTTCACCTGAAACACCAGGAAAAGTACTTCATTCTCACTCTCCATTATTATTTTCTTCCTCTGCTCTTAGTTTCCCATGTAAAGAAGCAATACCTTTGCTGGTGTTTTCCTTCAGTCCAGATTTAACTTTATTTGCGACTTCTGTATCAGGGCTTTGGAGAAGACTTCTTTTCCATTTTCTTTCATTTTTTTTTCATCTTGTTCTAATATCCATTTCAGAATTAGATGTCTGGCTGAATATTCTGCCACGTGGAGCTCTCCATCCTTGCCGCCAGAAATCACTTCAGGAGCAGCATCACCCACAAATATCCATGTCAACTTGTCTGTCACCAATTTCTAGATATGCTCCTGCGCATTACTTAACAAACAGCCTCCCAAGAGCTCCTTATGTGGATTATACTGTCTTTCTTACTATGCACATTTCCACCAGCCTTCCGTCGCACTTCAGTGTTTTCAGGTACAAGATGTGCAGGATTCCTAGGGTTTATACAAGAAGAACATTACTTCCGTATTTATCGTTCACCATATTCAGCAGGGAAATGGTGATCTCCAACATGAGTATTTGCTTCACAAGCTCAGTAGCATCAACACAGTGGACTCTGATGACTGGAACAGAGAGGGAGGCTGACGACTTGGAGCAACTCTGCCTCACTTAGATTCCACCCACCCACAAGTCAAGACCTCACCCCATGAAGTCGCTGGTCCTCTTTGAAACAATCAAATGCCGCCAACAAAACTAAATGAGAATACTTACCACTGGCTACTTTTTTAACATGAAGTCTTCATTGTTTTAATAGTAACATTTCTGTCCTTCGGTATGCTATCGGTCATGTGTATTGCAAGGTACGTTACAGCTTCTCTGATTGCTTCGATCATTTCTGATCTTAGTTTGGGGGGGACACAGGTGAAAAAGTCCAAGAATGTTTCATATGCCAGTGAATGCTTAACCACAGTTTCTTTCTGAGCCAATGGTGTGAGAATCTGTTTCATTTCATCCCCAATTGCCTCCTGCTTATCAGGCTCTGCTTCTAACGCTTTTTCCAGAGCTGGGTGAACTGCAGGCTCGTAAAGCTGGACTGGACCCCACAGAGCTGTTCTACCAGCGTGTACTGCTGTTCCAAAATCGCTCTGTCATCTATAAGCACATCCCACTGCTTCACATCTGGCTTTTAAAACTTTGCGTTATTTCTGTAATTTGTGATTTGTTGCTGCCCATGAGAAATTTCTTAACAACATTTCTGGAATATCTGGCCTTACTCAATTCATCAGCCCATTTCTCTTTCAATTCTTCAAATGCCTCTTTCCTTTGTCCCTCATTACCATACGGAATGGAACAATGGGTAACATGGTTGATAATCACGTGCAAATGAAATACTTTTAATCTTATCCTGAATCAACTTCTGTACTTCACTCATCAACTCTGTTCTTTTTTCTGGTTGCAATTTTTTCTTCTTAAGTATTCCCAAATTTGCTTTATCACAGAGCTGTCTGCTCTGCCTTGGCTCTTTCTTTTTCAGGTCATCCCTCCCGGGTTTCTCGGGCACTGTCTCCTCACTTCTGCCGTCAGGTTGGAACTGCCTTTTCATCTCCAACATGTTTCCTTCTTCTTTATTCTTGAGCTGTTTCAGGCCAGTTTTCCCAGGCTTTGTGATACTTTCCTCAAACTTCTCAGAGCTGAATTTAGGGCCACTTCCTTCGTCACCCTTGTTCGGCACCTTCTTTGAAAAGTCAGAATCACTGCCCTTTTTAAATCTGTTTTCTCCTTATGGTGTCTTTCGATCCTTTCCTGTGAAATGTGTCTTACCTCTGCTTCCACAGTAGCAATTTTTAAGAGACGCAAGTTTTGACAAAGCATTGCTCCTTTCCTGCCCTGCCCAAGCACGTGCCACTGCCTCAGAATGGTAGACGAGGCCATTTCTGCTTCTGCTCTTTTGGGCCTGCTCTCTCCCTTTTCTCTGCCTCCAGCCACAGAAAATAATTTCTAAAACTTAGAAACTACACCTTGAAAAAGAAAAGACAAAAGACATTTTAAGAAACAAAGTTCTGATTGGGAAATATATTTCAGGGCACCTAGCCCAAATCATTCAATGGCTACTATTCCATCCACAATCTACATCTGCTGCCTGGTCTACTTTGGCAAAGGCTGGCATGGAGGCTGGCTCTCCCCAAGTGAGAAGTCCTTGAATGAGAGGCACACAGGTCCATCCTTAGAACTCTTCCAGCTTAATGGGCCTGCTAAAGCTTAGATTCCCCTGGAGTCCATGAACTTGGCTTTTTAAAGTATTTTAAATAACTATTTTAATAAAGTAAGTTCCCTTGTAATCCTATGTATATTTTCTTTTAGGTATTTAAAAGCATTATTCTAAGTGGAGGTCCATAGGTTTCACTAGACTGACAAAGAGTTGGTGACACTACAAAGGTAAAGAAGCTCTATCCTAGAATAGCCTTCAAGGCCCCAGGATTGCTTCTATTCCACAATGAGACACTGGAAAAGGATTTAAGAGAGGGGTAGTCAGAAGGGACGTCACAAAGCCCGTGCTCTTTATCTCACGAGACTGGCCCTCATCTAAACAGGCTTACTTACCAGCTTAGCTCCCTACTCTTCCAGCAAACAGCAGAGCAGACACAACAAATTAAAAAAAAAAAAGAACATGCACAATGATACAACGACAGTCGTGAAGAAGTGACAATGACAATCTGAGTGGAGATGCGCGTCAGTCTGGGGCACTGAACACAGGGGGCAAAGAACGTCCCTCTACAACACCTCACGGTCTCGACAGCCCCAGAGAGGGTGAGCGTATTGATTAAAGAATTCCAGAGTGCTAAGAGTTCTCCATCAGCGTCAATTCTTTTTTCCTTAACTGGTACAGATCACTGCTGCTCTCTGCCTCGGCTCTTCCTGAGTTGAAGTAACAAAAAAAACAAACAAAAAGTCTCACCAACCAGACCGCTCTGAAGTGAGCTCAGCTGGTCCTCAGAAGGGAGACAATCTGTTGCTTGGCCCATCCTAGAAGACTACCCAGCTGAGCAAGCACAGGCCATTGCCAGGCCACCACAGGGCACGGCAACGAACATGAGGGGAAGCCTTGTAAGTCAAAAGGTTAATTTTGAATCATAAAAAAAAAAAGTTACTGATCAATTCGGTATACTCTAAGAAAACAGAAAAGCACGTTTTAGAAAGTTCTTCATCTAAAGCAACTTTTTAAAAATGCTGGCACTTAAATGTGCCTGAATTACCCGGAAAATTCACTCCTCGAAAAATGACATGGAGATCAATACACAAAATTTTAAGTCACACTGAATTAATTTCTTCTCTACAAAAAACTGCTTCTGTTCTGATTTTGAAATTCCTTCTCTAATCAAGGTCACCAAATCAATCGTATAAACTGAGACACTGAATTCAAGTCTAACATTGTTAATCTGGTATCTCAACTGCAGTAGCTGTTTCACAGGAGAGAGAGTGTTTTACTATACTGTCTTACAAGGATTTTTAAACGTATACAGAAATAAGGTTTAGACACTTACAAATATAGTCCTTTACAGCTCGCTCAAAGAGTTCATATACTTTCTCCCGATCTGAGCCATCTGATGCAATCTTGATCTCATCCTTCAACCAATCCAGCCAGATTTCTGAAAGAAAAGTCCCTCTTTGGATTATCTTCAATCAACAAACATTTATTAAGCACCTACTATATGTTAGGCACTGTGCTAAGGCCTGGGGACAAAAGACAATGCCTGCCTTCAAGGAGTTCATAACCTAATGTGAGAAACAAGTAAATAAACAGATACAAACAAGCTATATTCAGGAAGAATAGGAAATAATTAAAAGAGGGAATCACTAGATACTAGAATGAAAAGAGGCCACAGAAGGCTTCATGTAGAAGACAGGATTTTAGTTGGGACTTAAAGAAAGCCAGGAAAGCCAGAAGGGAGACATAAGGAAGATCACTGCAGGTGTGAGGGACGGTCAGAGAGAATGTCAGTGTAAGGAGATGGCTGTTTGTGGAACAGCCAGGAGGCCAGTGTCACTATATAGAAGAGTATGTTGTAGGAGGTGCGGTATAAAAAGACTGGAAAGGTAGAAGAGGGCTAGGTTATGAATGGCTTTGAATACCAAGCAGATAAGTGTGCATTTGACCCTGGGAGGCAATTGGGGGGGGGGGGGGGATAAGTGTGACATGATCAGACCTATGCTTTAAGAAATTCACTTTAGTGGCTGAATACAGGATGGACTGGATGGGGAGAGACCTGAAGCAGGCAGCCATCAGTAGCTATTGCAATAGTCCAGGTGTGAGGTGGTTAGGGCTGCACCAGGGTGGGTGCAGTGTCCAAGGAGAAAAGGGGGCATATTCAAAAGAGGTGAGGAGTTGGGAGAAAAGAATGAGTTCCTTTTTTTGGACATGTTCAGTTTAATATGTCTAGTAGACAGCAAATTCAAGACGTGTAAAAGGCAGTTAAGATGGGGGGGAGAGAGGGACAGAGGGAGGGAGGGATAGAGGGAGGGAGGGAGGGGGAGAGAAGGGGGGAGAGAGAGAGAGAAAGAGCAAGCACTGTCATGAAAATCTAGCAAAGAGACTATCAAGAAGAAGGGAGTGATCAACAGCGTCAAACGATGCAGAGAGGTCAAGGAGAATAAGGATTAAGAAAAGGCCCCCGGATTTGACAACTACAAGATAACTAGTAGCTCTGAAGAGAGCAGTTCCAATGAAATAAGGTGAGAAGTCAGATTGTAAGGGACTAAGAAGAAAGTGAGAGAAAATGGAGGCAGCTACTGTAGACGGCCTTTTCAAAGAAATTAGACATCAAGGCCAGAAGAGATATTTTGTTGTGGTTGAGTTGTTTCAGTCATGTTCAACTCTCTGTGAGCCCATTTCTTGGCAGAGATACTGCCTTCTCCAGCTCATTTTATAGATGAGGAAACTGAGGCAAACAGGGTGAAGTGACCTGCCCAGGGTCACACAGTTAGGAAGTGTCTGAGGCAGGATTTGAACTCATGAAGCCCAGTGCTCTATCCACCGTGGAGCCGCCCCAATAGATACAGGATGATATTAGCTGAGATGGAAAGATCAAATGAGGGTTTTTTTCAGGATGGGGGAATCATTACCAAGGACAAAATGTAAAGGTGCTGAACAAACACTCTTAAGACTAAAATTTTGCTATGGGATGTATGTAAACGATCTCCGATCTCTAACAATCTGATAGGATTTAAAACAGTAAATTTTTTAAATTACTAAGCTAAATCCATTTATAGCCTTATACATCTGAAAAACAAATAATTTAAAAATACTAACACCTCATACATGTAAAGCATTTTTATATTTTGCAAGATGCTTCAGCATCCATTTCTCTTAATCCTAACATGGTAGGCTAACCATCAGAAGTCTCCAGTTAATGATGAAGAATAAAGGCTTAGCTCCAATCAATGCAATGACCAACCCCATCTCCAGGGAACCTGTGATGAAGCACATTTACCCACCTTCTCAGAGAGGTGATGGGTAGAAGGTGCTGAAAGATACATACATTTTTTAACAGTCAGTGTGTAGACATCTTAGCCTATGCTTATTTGATGTAAAGGGGGGAAGGGGGTGTTCTTTCTCTCAATTTTTTAATTGGAATTGGGGCTGTCAACAAACAGTGATGCCCAAAAAGAGATAACCGTTGTAATATTTTTTTAAAATGCACAGAAAAATATATAAGGAAATTCAGAAGGAAGCAAAAACAAGTCAAACAGTTCTGAAACAACACAATGCAGCTGAACAAGCAACAAACAGAAAAGGAGGCAGGGAATGGAAAGGCTGAGGGGGGGGGATTAGTGAGGAAAACCCAGGATGCTTAAAATAGTATAAAACGGAAAATTTAAGAGAACAACGATCCATTATTTATACAGATTTATGTAAAACTCAAAGAAAGAGAAAAGAGAAAAAGAAAAGAGGATGACCCGAGAACATCCCCAAACTGGGCCTGCGGCCTCCTAGGGATCACTGAAATCCATAGGATAATCCCTAGAACAGATGGGAAATTTAATTAAAACTAGTCCAGGGAATTATTTTCATTTTTACTGAATTCCACATTAGAGTACTGCCAGACACTTCAGAAGCTCACGGACCAGCAGCTGGACCACTACACAACTTCGTGATGCTGGCCAAAGCTTCAATCTCCAATAAGAAGGTTCGCTAACATGAATGTCTTTTGTATAGAATAATGATGCTGGTAGTGATCATTGTTTGGAGTGTACAAAGACATACACAGACATTAAGAGGTTCTTGGGTTTTTCCAATGGAATTAGTGTTTTAAATGTGTGTCTTATTAGTGAGGCATTATCATTAATACTATGACTACTACCATCAGTCAACTAGCACTAATTAAGCACCTACTAAGTGCCAAGCACTAGGGGGATACAAAAAAAGGCAAAACAGTCCCTGCTCTCAAGAAGCTCCCAGTCTAACGAGGGAGATACGGCAACAACTTGAGACTCACAAAATACAGACTGCAGACAATGAGCAGAGAGAAGGTCCCTCCATTAAGAGGACATCTGTTTTCACAAGACACTCGGCCCAAAAGCTGAAAAACCTGACCATTCAACTTTCATACCAGACAAATTCTTGCTAGAATGAAGCACTTAACTGATTACTCACAGCACATGTTTCCTCTGAGGGAGAGCTGAGAGCTTCCTACACTTGCTGTCTGATCCGCCCTGCACATTAAAAAGGACTCTGGAGGCCTAAAACACATTTCCAGTTTAAATTCTGAGAACAGGAGTCCCAGGTTTACCTTCAGTGAGAGGAAAAAGTTCACTCATTTTCTGGCGAGCCCGTCTCAGCTTGATTAGTTCCCCTTCTTGCCGAAGCAGCTTTATCAGGTCCACGTGGCAATTGTAGTCAAAGGCATTGATGGAAAGCTTTAACAGGAAAATATTTTAAAAGTTAATTTAAACGTAATCTGAAAAAAAAGGCAGAAAACCAATTGGTGGCTTTCATCACTGTATTTTAAAAAGTTCATCTTTTGGGGTAGCTAGGTGGTGAAGTGGATAGAGCTCCGGCCTTGGAGTCAGGAGGACCCGAGTTCAAATTCGACCTCAGACACTTGATACTTACTAGCTGTGTAAGCCTGAGCAAGTCACTTAACCCCAACTGCCTCACCAAAAAAAAAAAAAGAGTTCATCTTTACGTACAAGCAAAATAAATCACATTTGCATAAACTAATGCAGAACCAGGAGAGCAGTGTCTACAAGCACAATAATGCAAAGGAAAGCAACCCTAAGAAGCATTTGTCCTCTGACCATTATGGTAATCTCTCCTGACTTCTGAGGACTCACGCTACCCACATGGCCAAGACACTGAGGCTTTACTGAACTGTACTTATTTGTTACAAGGGACAGTTCTACTGGATAACAGGTGCATTGGAAAATAACAGTGATGGAAAAAAATAAAAGGCATCGATAGACTATTTTCAAAGGGGGGGGGAAAACTCATTGAATAATAATGCAACATTTTTCAATGCTGTCCCTCAGCAACAGGGAAGGAGCATGATAAAAAGGAACCCGGGGAAATATCTTGTATAAACATAAAATGTCAATATCTATTCAAACCAACTTCTGTTCCCCTTTCCTAAAACAAGCAAATTACCCAGGCCTGTCAAGGGAAAGAGTTATCAACAAACCAAGAAGGCTAGCCATGCCTGTCTCACAAGGTTCACTGACCTACATCCAGGTTATCGAGACCTGATTCATTTCAACAACCCACTTCCATACACAAGTGACAGTACAAGTTCTATTAGCCAAACTTAAAAACAAAAAACCCTGGAGTAAAAAACAATTGGCCTGGAACTAACCAGAGTTCCCTTACAAAGGACAAAAGCACAGGTTTTCAGAATAACAAGCATCAGGGAAAACAGTTGGGGGGGGGGTAGTTTTTAACTTCAGATGAAGAATCATACTATCCCTATTATAATAAAAAAGCACTTTGCAGCCAGGGGGAAAATCAACATACCAAGGAATTCATTATAATGACCATATGATAACATTAGCGAAAAATGAGCCCTACCCAGCCTGAGCTTGTTGAACCTAAAAAAGCAGCCTAGTTGTCAGAGAGGCTACAGCAGGAGGATGAGGAAAGACCAGCTTGGCCTGACCTCGTGCCACCGGTCAGATTACGGAACCTCTCAAGTGTTTAAAGCTCCACAATTTAGAGGGATAAAAATACAACAGGGTTTTTTAAAGTACCATACAAACATAAAGTGATGATCCTCACTCTGAAAAACACAGCAACAAAGCCATGACTCATAAGAAAAAAATTCTAAGTGTTTTTATAAAGTAATAATTTTTTTTTATCACATCTCTACTTTATTTTCTCCTGATGTGATACATAAAAACTTCGAAATAAAACTAAAATAAGACTTCAGAGCTAGTTACAATCAGAGCCCTCTGGAGGTCATTCAGTCAGTGCAATCTTCTCATTCTGCAGAGAAAGCTGCGGCCCAGAGCAGTTACATGCTTTAGACATGGCTGCACGGATACTAAGAGCAGAGCTGAGATCTGAACCCAGATGCTCAGGCTCAAAAATCCTGAGCTTCTGCAGGCTCCACTATGCATCAAAGCAAGCTCCAGCAGTTTCAGATCCGATAGGGGTAAGGAGACTCACCAGCTCAGTGTCTGGTCCACACTCATTTTCATCTCACTATAAACAGGGGTAGGGATGGGATGGGGAGGTAGTGTATAAGGCACACAACTGTATGACGGGCGAGGTCCCTGGATCTATCACCACCTTGCTATGTATGTATGTACATATGTATAGCCTTAGGAAAATTACCAATCTGGACTCAATTTTTCTCATCCCTAAAATTGCAGGTTTCTTTAAATTACAAGATCTGTGGCTATTTCGGAGTAAGAAAGTTATCCATGTATAGATGTACGTAACAAGGAGCGATACGGTGCAGTGGCATTAGCCATTAGTTCACCCCACAGCTCCACTATTTCCTCCTTGTGTGACCTTGGGCCAAGCAATGACCTTCCTCCCCTGGGCCTGTTCCTTCATCTGTAAAATAAGAAGGTTGGCCGGACTGCAGTCCCTTGGAGATCTCTCTGGTTCTACATCCGGGATGCTGTGTGATGTGTGTGGATGAGAGATTCCCACCTTGAGATTCATTTAAAATGAGGTACTGTTACCATCATACACACATCAATATCTAACTAGTAGCACACGTACACTCTCCTTGGACTTCATGCCATGTCAACAGCCAAAGTGATGCACCACAGGAAGGTAAGAATTAGCCAAATGGGTTAAATTCATGCACTGAGGGAATTCTGCCCAAGTTAGTTCCTGTTTAACCCCAAAACTGTGGCACAATTATCTGGAGGAGACCATCATGTCATGCCTGAGAGGAGAGGGACAGTATCCTGGAACTCTAGGAACTAAACATTTCACTGGCCCAACCATCTCATCAAAAGGAGGGGGTGGCCCGACAGCCAAAGGAAATAAGGATGCTAACTGATCTTGGCTGGGAACCTCAGGTCTCTGGAATACTGCAAGGTTCTCTGGGATGCTACTTTAATTAATACCCACAAATACAAATGTGTTCAAGTATAACATTTTTTCTTCTGTAACATGTGACAAATGGATGAGAACAGAGATGAATTATGAGATCTCATCAAGTACACTCTGCAATGAGAACTGGAACTTGAAAACCCAGCTCCATGAGTCTATCAGAAAGCCTGCCTGAAAGCTCCTGATCACTATCTCCTGTCTATGGGAAAGAGCACTGCATATCCCCTTCAGCATCTTTAGGAGACTGGAAGAACCACAAAAGGAAGGAACTATAAAGGAATGCCTTCCCTTGAGGCAAAGCCCCATTCACATAGGCAGAAACTAGAGGCCCAAGGCTACTTAGATTAAATAAAAAGTGGGTAACATCAGGCCTAGGACATCGGGAGAACCCTCTATGGGCCAATGGCTTTGGATCTGAAGTAGTTCCCATTCAGAGCCAGGTACTGATCGACTTAACTCACTTCAATTCAAACCAATAAATTGTATTGTAAATCTACTGGTCCAAGACCAGTAATCCAATAGTTATAAGTAATTATAACGACCAAGTTTGACCCTGGAAAAGAGCTGAGAAAACGCACCTCACCTCCCTTACCGAGGTGCAATCCCACACTGCTGTCAGATACTGTCGTTCTGTGAGGCTAGTTCCACTGAACTGCTTTCTTCCCTTATTACTTTTTAGTCTGCATTATGAGGGACGGCTCACAGAGGAGAGGAGAGGAATATGTTCAGAAACAAATGGGATATAAAAGCCAAAGAGCAAGCAAAAATTTTTTTTTTAAAACCCAATGACAGATGCTGAAGGGGATATGCAGTACAAGCCTTCCAGTGGCTTGTGGCTTCATGGGGTTGGGTAAGCTACAAGCACCCTAAATTCACAATATACAGCTCCGACCTCATCACTCCCTCAAAAACGAGACCAAGGATGAACTCCCTGTCCATAAAGCTTCCCATAATCTGACTCCAACTCCAAATTAGCCCCCTTCCAGCTTTCTCTCCTGTTCTTCACCCTTCATCCCCACCCCACCCCCTACATCTGCAGATAGCAGATGTGAATAGGGGATACCTAGGTGACTTAACTACAAGGCATTCAGTGTGGCCTCCTCAGGACAGTGACTCAGTCGTGGAGAACGGGACTCAGAAGAGTCAACCCTGGAGGCAGGATCTGAACCCAGGTATCCCCTAACTAGCACTGGCTAAAAGGAGACAAAGTTGGAACCCAGGTCTTTCCTGACCCCAAATTCTGCACTCTTCCCACCACACACCACCTGCCTTCCCGGTGGCAGGGATTTTAAAAGAGATGAGTGGCTCACACAGCCACGGTCCAGTCTGCGCAACTGCACAGTTTTAAATCCAATATGAGCCAACGTGGGTGGGAGGCTGGTAGAATTTGAACCTCGGACTCTACCGACCCCCCAAGGCTGGTAAACCTGGCCCCTCCGTATCTTTGCATTCTTCTTATACCCCAACTGAGTATTCCCACAACACCCCCCTCCCGACTCCGGATGTTTTCTCTGGCCGTGCCCCCGCCACGCCTGCCCTCCCACCTCCTCCTCGAGGGTTCCCTGCCTTCTTCCATCCCGCCTCTGATAAAATCCCCCTCCCCGGGCCCCTTTATGCTAGTGCCTTCCCCGCGGCGCTCTAGGCATATCCGGTTTGTACCCCTCCCACTGGAGGGGGGGGTCCCCGAGGGCAGGGACCCCCGCGTCTGCCGGTCCCTCCGGCGGCCCCACGTCCTTCGCGTCGCGGGCCGGGCCCGGCCCAGCCCCACGTGGGTCTGGAGCGCGCGGGGCTCACTGCGCGTGCGCGAGGCTCCGGGGCAACAGTCCCAGCAACGGCCGCCGCGCCGCACCGCCCCCTCCCCGGCCCCCGCCCCTCCCCCGCGGCGCACCTGCTCCTCCAGGCGCTGGATCTCCGCCTCGTTCTCCTTCTCCTCGTCGTCGTCGTCGTCTTCCTCCGCCGAAGAACAGCCGAGGTCCTCGTCCTCATCCTCGTCCTCGTCGCCGCCGTCGCCGCCCCCGCCCGAGTCCTCCGACTGCACCTCGTGCTCGGGGCGCCCGCGCGCCGCCGTCACAGCCAAGGCCGCCGCCGTCTCCTCGTCCTCCGCTTCCTCCGCCGCCACGGCCCCCGCCCCCGCCGCCGGCGCCTTCGCGCGGGGCCCAGAAGCGGCCGCCGCTGCTGCTGCCGCCGCCATCTTGCGCCGCCCGCGTCTCTTCTCCGCGAGCTCGACGCCGACGCCGCTGTGACGTCAGCGCTGACGCCGGGGCTGCCCTTGCCGCGCCAGTTCAAAATCTCTCCGAGCCGGGCTGTGAAGCTGCCCGGGGCGCTTTGGAAGCGGAATGGCTGCGAGGCCGCAGTGTGGTCTCAGGAGGCTCTTCCCTCAGCCAGCCTCCTCTCGGCCGAGAAGGGACCCCTGCTTGCCGCTTCCGTCCAGGCGTGACGAAGGACAGGCTTCCGGGTCCTTTGGACAGGAAGTGGGGGCCATAGAGGAGGTCAAGGCGCCGCAGGGGGCGGGCCGTGCGGGGCTTGGCGCCATCTTGGGAAGGACAAGGGCGGTTTACCTACTGGTCCCTGTGTGTGTGTGTGTGCGCGCAGGGTGCGCGCTGCGGCAGGTGCACCCTAGCGCCCGATGCACCCAAGCGCCCAAGCCCGGGCTGCAGCTCCGGCCACGTGTGCGCGCCCTGGCTCAGCTTTACTTAGATGCAGACAGTTGCGTAAGAATCTACCGCGGCTTACTAGGCCACTATTCCACCGGCTCCGACCTGCTTGGGCCGGACCTTCCTCGTCCCGTGGGCTCTGCTTAGTTGTGACTCACTCCCCCGCCCCCAGCTAGCCCGGAGCTAGCCTGTGCTCCGCATCCCCGGGTAGTACTGGTGCTGATCAAAAGCAGATGCGGGAGAAACTGAACTGGACTCGGGGCCTCCCTTTACCTTGCCCTGTGACCTTGAACAAGTCACTTCCCTTTGTCCTCATTAATTAAAATGCCTTATTCTTAAGAGACTTCCCACCATTCTGAATCACAGGATTCGGAGCTGGAAGTGGCCACCTTGTCACAAAGAAGGGCTGTGTCGCCCATCTCCATGCCTGGAATGCCTTCGGGTCTCACTTCTTCCTTAAAAGTGTAGTACAAGTGCCACTTGCTGTTATTTCTATTTAATTTTATGTTTGTCTGGTCCAAGTGATGGTTGTTCCCTTTTGATGCCTAGAATCACTACTAAACTATAAAAATGGCATCTGCCAGGTCAGGTGATAGAGTGACAATGGGCATTTCATTCAGTGACCCTAACCAAAAGCATCCCCTGACTCTTGGGCCACATCTTCTAGCCCCTCTAAAAATAAAAGGCCACTCTAAAATAACTAGGTAAAGGACCGTTCCTCTCACAAAAAAAAAATTGAAGGCCGAGACCATAAAGGTGACTAACCATACTCTACCAGTTTATCAGCTAGCCTCACTAAGTCTTTTTTTTTTTTTTTTGGCAAAAAAAATCAATCAGGGCACACACACACACACGCCATATATGTATGTATGTACGTGTGTGTATATATATACATGTATATGTGTAAGAGGGATTGGTCAGGACATTTCCTGATGGTTTCCCTTCCCCAAACTCGGGTGATGTTAGTCAAGGCAAGTAAAGGGCAGATAACTGAGGTGTTAATATTAATTTAAACTAAATGCAAAAAACCTGTCCACTGCTCTGTTATCACTTTATAAAGTGTAAAAAAGTTTCCCTAGTTGAATTGGAAAGGAAGCTTGGCATTGACTACAGGAAACTAGGCCAAGCCCTTAAAAGAAAGAATCCACCAGGCCTGTCTATCAATGGAAGAGGAACTCCAGTTCCATGACAGCCATGGAAAGCTACAAAATGCACAGAATATTTAGGCACCATTTTACCAAAGCACCTAAAAGACTTGGTATAGATAGCTTCAAATACAAATTGCTCCTTAAAGAAATAAAAACAAATAGCTAGAGAAATATTCAGTGCTCATGGCTGGACCATGTCAATATAATAAAAATGACAATACTACCAAAATTAATTTACACTTTTAATGTTAATCAAATTCTCCAAAGGACACTTTACAGAACCTAATAAAAATGACAATTCATTTGGAAAAATAAAAGATCTGTAACATCAAGGGAAATCATCAAAAAAGTTAAGGATAAAGAGCCAAACTATTTTATAAAGCAGCAGTCATCAAAGCCATCGGTATTGAAGAAAAAATGGATCTGGAACAGTCTCCTAGACAAAGGAAAATCAGAAACAATGGAACTTGAGAACCCAGGATTCCATAAACTGGAAAATATCAATGACTTAGGAAAAAACTCCCTATTTGACAAAAACTGCAAAACTGTCAGGCATAAACTTAGACCGACGTACCATATTTCACAAGTTTAAAATGGAAGTATGACTTTAATAAAAAAGATCATATCAGAAAGTAATTAGAAGAAAAGCAGATCAAATACCTTTCCCAGCTATGGCTATATGTCTTCTCAGTCATGGGACTGTACGTTAATATTATGTGAAATTGAAAAACTTCTGCACGAACAAAATAATACATCTAAGTTAAGAGAAGTGGTCAAAAAAAAATCTCTAAAATTTCTCAGATAAGGGATATCTAAGGTTTCTAAGATAGACACATACATATACATGAACACGTACACATACATATATATATAATATATATATATATATAATATAGTAATCCACAAATCCTAGTCTGTTAAAGCTTCTAACCCTAAACAAAATACAGAGATATTAAAGCTTAAAACTGCACTAAGATTTGTGGTATAACCTGTATATGACCACTCCCCAATAGAAAAGTGATGAAATGATAGGAAGAGTTCTCAAAAGAAGAACTGCAAACTATTAATAACTGCATGAAAGAATGCTCTAAATCACTAATGTTTTAAATGCGTAACACATTCCTAATACAAAGGAAGCCAATTATATTGAAATATGTATGTATATGTTTGTGTATATACATGTATATATATATACATATACATACATATATAAAAGTTTGGGAACCTCAGGTTAAGAACCCCTGGACTGTTTGATCTCTAAGTCCAATCAATCAATCAATAAGCATATATTACGTACTTGCCATGTGCCAGGCACTGTGCTGGAGACCGGGGAGGGAAACCAAAACAAACAGTTCTTGTCCTCAAGAAACTTCTATTCTTTTGGAGGAAATTCTGTTGTATGAATGTAGCAGTGGTGGTGGTGGTGGTGTAGGGGAGCAGTGAGCAGGATTATGTGCTACAGTCAGAGCTCAAAGGCCCCTTAGAGGCCAAGTCTAGCCCCTAATTTTATAGATGAAGAAATGCCAAGACCAACCCAAGAACTATATGAACACAATTATAAAACACTTCACACAAAGTCAGATCTGAATACTTGGAAAAATATCACTTGCTCTTGCGTAGGCCAAGCTAATATGATAAAAATGACAATTCCACCTAAATTAATTCACTTATTCAGTGCCAGATCAATCCAACTACAAAAAAATTATTTTACAGAGCTAGAAAAAATAATCAAATTCATGTGGAAGAACAAAAGGTCCAGAATATCAAGGGAACTGATGGGAAAAAAAATGCAAAGGAAGGTAGCCTAGCCATTCCAGATCTTAAATTGTATTATAAAGCAGCAATCATCAAAACTATGTGGGACGGGCTAAGAAATAGAGTGGTGGATCAGTGGAATAGGTTAGGTACACACGACACAGTAGTAAATGACTATAGTAATCTACTGTTTGATAAACCCAAAGACCACAGCTTCCAGGATAAGAACTCACTATTTTAGAAAGTACTGAGAAAACTAGAAAATAGTATGGCAGAAATTAAGTATAAACTAACACCTCACACTCTATACCAAGATAAGGTCAAAATGTGTACATGATATAGACATAAAAGATGATACCATAAGCAAATAGGAGAACAAGAATAGTTTACTTGTCAGATCTATGGTGAAGGGAAAAATTTATGCCCAAACAAGAGATAGAGAAGATCATGAAATGCAAAATGGATAATTTTGATTACATTAAGTTAAAAAAGGTTTTACACAAACAAAGCCAATGCAACCAAGATTAGAAGGGAAGCAGAATAATGGGAAACAATCTTCACAGCCAATATTTCTGATAAAGGCCTCATTTTTAAAATATATTGAGAACTGAGTCAAATTTATAATACAAGTCATGCCCCAATTGAGAAATGGTCAAAGGATATGAACAGGCTGTTTTCAGATGAAGACATTAAAGGTATTTCTAGTCATGTGAAAAAATGCCCTAAATCACTATTGATTAGAGAAATGCAAATTGAAACAACTCTGAGATACCACCTCACACCTATCAAATTGGCTAACATGATAAAAAAGGAAAATGACAAATGTTGGAGAAGATGTAGGAAAATTGGAACACTAATGCATTGTTGGTAGAGTTGTGAACTGATCCAACCATTCTGGAGAGCAATTTGGAACTATGCCCAAAGGACTATAAAACTGTGCATACTCTTTGACCCAGCAATAATACTACTAGATCTATATCCCAAAGAGATCATTAAAAAAGGGAAAAGGACCCACATTAACAAAAATATTTACAGCAGCTTTTTTTTGTGGTGGCAAAGAATTGGGAATTGAGGGGATGCCCATCAATTGGGGAATGGCTGAACAAGTTATGGTATATGAATGTAATGGAATACTATCGTGCTGTAAGAAATGATCAATGGGCAGACCAGAAAAACCTGGAAAGACTTGTATGGACTGATGCTGAATAAAGTGAGCAGAACCAGGAGAATGTTAAACATAGTAACAGCCACGCTGTGTGATATGTGCAATGATCTAAGACAACTCTAAAAGACCAATGATGGAAAGTGCTATCCATATCTGTATGGAGTCTGAATGCAGATAGAAGCAGACTATTTTCTCTCTCTCTTTTTTGTTTCTTTCTCATGGTTTTTCCCTTTGGTTCTAATTGTCCTTTAGCAGCTAAGTGGCCCAGTAGATAGAGCACCTGCCCTGGAGTCTGGAGGACCTGAGTTCAAATCCAGCCTCAGACACATAACACTTACTATGTGACCCTGGGCAAATCACTTAACTCCAACTGCCTCACAAAAAAGAAAATGACTAATGTGGAAATATGTTTAATATGGTTGTACATGTATAGCCTATATCAGATTGCATGCCATCTTGGGGAGGGGGGAGGAAAAATTTAGAACTCAAAATCTTAGAAAAGTGAATGCTGAAAACCAATAAATAAATAAAAATGTAATAGGGAAAAAATAAATAAATAAATAAATAACAGCCCACTCTAGGTTTATTAAGGAACTTACCACATCTGTAACAATTACATTGCTATCTGCCTCAGACAGTGGTTTTGAGGAAAAGCTCAGCTAACCTTCTGTTGTCCACAGAAATGAGTTAAATGCTATTGTTACGATGTTATAGCTTCAAAGATCTGGGATTTCACTGATGTGGACAGATGACCCAGTGGTAAGTTACACCACAGACACAGAGCTGGAAGGGACCTTGAAGGTCAAAGTCCAACTCCCTCATTTTAGAGGTAAGGAAACCGAGACCCAGAGAGGTCCCCTCCCATGTTCTAGATCACCCAGCTAGAACGTTTCTGAAGCAGGATTTGAACCCAGGTGTCCTTGACTCCAAATCCAGCATTCTAACAATACAGACCATGTTATCTCTGTGTCTTAGTATGTGGCTTTTGAGTGGAAGGTTCATTGCCCAGTAGTGACCCTAATGAACTCTGGCGGGTCCTTGGACAGAGATATATCCTATGCCTGGGCCTATACCCAAATTCTTGACAGCTTGGTTAAGACCTACAGCAGCTTGTTTGAGAATCTAGGATCACCTTTACACCCTAAGGAGGCATTAGACTTAGCGTAGACATTTACTACCAAAACGTGACCTTGGGAAGGTCACTCATCACCCTTCAGCCTCAAGTCTCCTCATCTATAAAAGGAAGAGGTGGAATGGTGGACACTCAAGTCCCTTACATCTCTAGCTCTGTGACAAAAGGAAATACAGCCACTTTCTGAAGTCTTATGGTAAGCAAGTGTAGAAATGAGACGACAGACCTGATGGAACTGCTGTGCCCTTCAATGTCTGCAGCACCAGGTGAGCTCCCACATCTCTTCCCACTTTATTTCACATGGCTCTCCTCCTCTGCATGCTCTGTTCCACTTAGATGGAAATACCAACTCTTCCCTGAGCACCAAGTTCCATGGGAAGGTCGTGTGGTGCAGGGGAGTGATGAACGCGGAACTGGCCCTGAAATCAAATCCCAATTTTGCCATTTATTACTTTTGACAAAATTGTTCAGAAACTGGTTAATACTCACTGTACTATGGACAGCCACGACTTCCTAGTCACCCTGATGATGTCAAAATTCCAGTAACGTCCTTCCATTCCCAAACTTAAGATAAAGAGATGAGCTTGTGTGAGTCAAGACTTTTAAGTCCTATCCTGAGATCTTGCCTTATGGGGGTCAAGTGGGATCAAGGCCTTTGAATTCATGGCATGAAGGGCAAAACAGCCAGAATGAAGTGGTTCTTGCCCAGATTGCCGTGGGCAGCTGGGATGTCATGACTGGGCCTTGCTACCTCATGCAGCCTCCTCCTTTTTACTTCCTAACAATATAAAAGACTTTTCCATAGGCCTCTAGTTTGGGAAATCCACTGGACATCCCCCAGGGGGGTAGGTTTGCTACCCTGTTATCTCAATTAAAGATGCTTTATTCCTCAACTCATGGCTTTGAGTTATTTCAGGGCTTGACACTTTGAACAAGTCATTTCATTTCTTGGACCCTCAGTTTCCTTGACTGGAAAATGGGGGTGGGGGCTGAAGGAGATGAGCTTCTAAGGTCCTTCCAGCTCCAGGCCTAAGACTTTCTGATCTCCCACCTCCATGCCTTGCATAGGAATGCCTAGAATGCACTCCCTCCTCACCACCTCCTAGAATTCTTAGCTTCCTTCCAAACCCAGCTCAAAGGGCACCTCAGCCCCCAGCCTTTCTTAATCACTCCAGTTGTTACTAAACTTTCTTTGGCACTTAAGCGGTTATTGAAGTGAACTGACCCCGGGAAGATTGGACTAGAAGCTCCTAAAAGTTCCACTGTGCATAAATTGCAGAAGTGTCCCAAGAGTAAGACTGGCTTCCATCCCATTTTCCTCTCCTTTGGCTCACTCAATAAAAGGCTCTCTTACTCTCTTCATCTTAATGACGACTGCTCTGCTCCCAACAAAAGAAAAAATACTATCAGGGACTTATTAAGGCCTTCTCCCTGAAGGTAATGATGCTTTTACCTGACCACATTCTATTTCTTACCCCTGAGGGTTACAGAGGTCACAGGTCACATTCTCCAGAAGGGAAATGTCCTCCAATTCAATTCAACAGACAAGTAAATTAAGCAACAAAGTGCAGTGCTGGAGCTAAAAACCCAAATTGTCCCTGACCTCTGGAGTTTACATTCTACCTTCACAAATAAAGCAGCACAAGGTCATTTGAGGAAAAAGAGAAAATTAACACCTGAGCAAATCAGGGAAGGCGTCTTTGAAGAAATGACATTAGTGCTGAGCATTCTGGACTAGGGGAATAGCTTATGTGAGGAATAAAAGCTCACGACAGGGAGTAGTTTGGAAGGAAGCTGGAAAAGTGGGAGGGGAGAGAGCTGCTTGTGAAGACCTTGGATGCCAGGCTAAGGAATATGTGATTGATCCTACAGGCAATGGGGATCATTTAAGGTTTGGGGAAACCTGCTTTTTAAAAGAACAAACCTCTATCAGAGAAGTTGATGATGGGTTAGTTGGGGATCCTCTCTCTTTTACCAGGGAAAGCTCGTCTGGGGAGCACGATGAGGTGAGGCAGGGCCAGGGATCACTGCAGAAATGAAGGGGATGTAAAAACAAAAGACATCAGTAAGATCGATTTTTAAACACGATCAGAATTCTGCCACAATAAAAGGTCTTTCAGATAGTGCTTTATATGCATTAGCTCATTTGCTCTTCCCAACAATTCTGGGAGGTCAATGCCACAGCTATTATCACTTCACCATACGCGTGAGGACGTGGAGGATGACAGACTAAATGACTTGCTCCAGAGTCACAGGCAGCTGAGGCAGGACTGGATCTTCTAGACACCAAGCCCAGTGTTCTGGCCACAAGGCCACTCTAAGCTGCTGTCACAATCATCATCAAGGCAAAAGGTGATGAGAGCCTGAATCAAGGTGATGGCCATGTAAGGGAAGAGAAAGGGATGAATGGATGGAGAGACAGAGAGAGGTGGATACATGACATACTTAGATGGATGGATGGATGGGTGGGTGGGTGGGTGGATGGATGGGTAGATAGATAGATAGACAGACAGATAGATAGATAGACAGACAGACAAGATAGGTAGATAGATAGAGATGATACTGATAGATAGGTGAGATATAGATGAGATTGCTAGATGGATGAATAGATCAGATACGTAGATAGATATAGATTGATATATTAGATTGAGGGGTAGGGAACCTTCGGCCTTCAGGCCACATGTGGTTCCCCACCCCTGGCTGATTGACACAATACATACATGTGCATAGAAATGATAGACAGACATAGATAGATGAGAAATAGATGAGATAGGCAGATAGCTATAGACAGATAGGAGAGATCGATTAGACGGGATAAACAGATTGATAGAGGTGAGATATAGATGACGCGTGAGATAGCTAGATGGATGAAATAGGTAGATAGATAAGATAGCAAAATGAGGTCGAGCATTTAAAGGGTTTACCATGTACCAGGCTTTGTGCTAAAGGCTGGGAAGAAAAGTTCAAGCTAGACAGTCCCTGCCCTCAAAGCACTTACATTCTAACAGGGGAAGCCTCTTGTCCACAGCTACTTACTCCCAGACAGGCAGGTACTCTCCATCCTATCACAGGCTCATCATACACAAAGGGACAACACTGTCATTCAATGAATCGTCATTCATTAAGAACAAATATCAATAAAATCCATCTGTGATTATTCACTGCAAGATCATTTGAAAAAATGAAAAAGCTTTACAATGCAAATCTTATGTGCCAAGTACTGTGCTAATCCCTGGGGGGGGGGGGGGGAGACAGTAGCTCTTGTTAAAGAGCTCCCATTCTAAGGAAGGAGCCCACACAGAAGAGAGTCCAGATGTAGGGCCGATGGCAAGGACCAGGGGTCCCTGGGTTGCAAATATTGATACCATTATTCATGCACACATGAATTCACACCTCTCATGCACACCTTTTTGCTTCTCAGTCACACAGTTTTGTTCCTAATGAAGGGAATGTAATATCCATAAAGGGAAGGCCTATTACAAAAGGGGTTACAACCTTAATTTTTAAGTCTGCCATCTTAGGCCTTCACAGAGACCCACTGTGGCCTGGGCTGGACCAGGAGAACACAAGTTATGAAAATGCCAAGTAATGGATGTGATGTTGTAGGGCAGACCCAGAGGGTCATCCCCAAGGCAGACACAAGGTCATAAATGACCTATCTCACAGAGTCATGGTAGGTAAGCAGAGGTAAGCACTCTGCAAACCTTGGAGTCTTGTAGAAACTTGAGTTATCACCATTATTGTGATCCACAACCCCTCTAAATTTAACAGATTTTCTTTGTAATTTGCTGCAGCCAAAAAAAAAAGTGCTTCTCTTGGTGGAAGGCCTTCTTGTGACAGCACAATGACAGGCTGGTCTGTCAATGGGCAGCCTTTAGTCAAGGCTAAGGCCTTGTGGAGCCTGCCAGAGCTGCGATTCCTATGAGAAGCCAAGGTCACCTCCCCACTCTGAGAGGCATCTGGCTTTGATCAGCCTCATTATCCTTCTCTGTAAAATCAGTGTTGGGTGTGATGTGAGGTGAGGGGCAAGACCTCAGGCTTTAAAGCCAGAGGACATGCGTTGCAATCCAAAAAATAAGACTGTTGGTGTTCTAGCTAGCTTGTATCCCTTGGTTTTCGCCCAGATAAAATGTGCTTTCTTGTCTTTTTCCCCGTTACCTAATGAGCACAATTCCCGCACACCATAGACACTAAATGTTTACAGATTTATAAATCGGCGTAGATCAGACAGCCTTAGCCTTGCCTGGACCCCTTCGGCAATCTGGCAAAGCCCACAGACTCTTCTCAGAATAATTTTGCCTAAAGCAGGCATAACTGTTACTTTTGCAACACAACTTCTGTTAGAAGTTAGTGAAAATAAAATATACTTGTTTTTCCCAACCACATTCATGGACTCCCTGAAATCTATCCATGGCTCAGGTTATAATAAATTATCATAATAATAGATAGCATTTATAGCACTTTTCAGTTTGAAAAGCACTTTATATATGTGAGATGACAAGAGCTTCATATAAAGAGGGTCCATTCTCCCTTGGCCACGTGGTCCAGGTCCCTGGAGTTCTATGACCTCATAGACTCCTTGGCCATCCCAGATCCCTCCCACAGTCTTTCTGTATATAAGGTCCAGCTTGTCTATAAAAGATGCTCCTATTCTTATGACCTAGACAATAGCTCACTGGTGTTCAGACTCCTTAAGAGTCTGCCCAATATGACGGATGTTCTAATAAACCGTGTCTCTGGCTGAAAGAAGGCTTGGGTGGAATTCTTTGGGGCAGGACCCGCGTGTTGATTTTGGGGTCCCAGCACCCCTAAACCTCAACAGGTCATCGCCCAGGTCTCAGCTTTTCTCTCCTCTCTCCCCAGGGGGCTGGCAGTCCCCCTGTTGAGGTTTAGGGGTTCAGGGGTGCTGGGACCCCAAAATCACAACACACGGGTCCTGCCCGAAAGAATTCGAGCCCCACTCAGGACTTTCCCGCGGGTGCCCCCGGGGAGACAGGGGTGTTATGCTGAGCAAAGGACAAAACCCAAAACGCCTACGTCTAGGGCACGGTCACGTGAGGAGCGTTGGGCGGGGCGGGGCCGCAAGCGCTCACCTCCCAATTTCCCCTCCCCCCTTCCTCCATCGCTCCCAAGACCCCGCCCCGCCGCCGAGGCCCCGCCCACCACCGCCTAGCTCGCGCTTGGGCCGCCCCCGTCACCCTCCTCAGGCCCCGCCTCAGAGCCCTCCCTTCCTCCTTCCCCTCCCCCTCCCCTCCATCTCAGCTCCGCCCCCTCGCTCTCTCCACAGACCAGCCGTCCTGGGCCCCGCCCCCTCCATCTCCCCACCCCTTCGCCTTCAGCCCCACCCACTCGGCCTGGGCCCCGCCCCCTCGGTCTGAGCTCCGCCCCCTCAGCGGTTCCGCCTTCCGACACAACATGGCAGCGGCGGCGCAGGCCGGACTGGCAGGGTTGAGGCGGGCGGCCTCGATGATGTGCCTAGGCACTCGGCGGCCGCCCCTCCGGGAGCTCTCGGCTCCGGCCCGGCTGTACCACAAGAAGGTAGGGGCCGCGGAGCGCCTGGGCCGGGGAAGCGGGGACGTTGGAGACCCTGGGTGACGCCGTTAGAAAGAAGCGGCGTCCCCTCCTGCGCGTGCGCGCCCCTCCCCCTTCTGCGCGCGCCCCTCTCCTTCTACGTGCGCGTGCGCGTACAGCGGTGCCCGTGTGTCCTCTGAGCATCCCGAGCCCTAGGATGGGGTATGTCCCAAGGCTCAAGTCGAGGCAGTCAGCGTTTAATAAGCGCCTACTGCGTGCCCGGCATGGGCGAGGGCCAGATTTGGGCCTGATGTCAGGGAAAAGGGGTGGGAACCAAAGCTGGGGGGACCTCCGGGTGAGGAAGCTCCCTCCACCCTTGCCCCGAAACAGAGAGGTTTGTCACCTGCCCAGGGTCACACAGCCAGGAAGCCTTCACGAGGGCAGCAGCCTTCGGGCACTAACCCCCTGGAGAGGAGAAAAGCTGCTCCCTCCAAGCAGTAGTGGGGAGGGTCGTTATCCCCATCTCTCTGACAGTGGAGGAAACTGAGGCTCGGAAAAGTGAAGGGATTCCAAAGCCATTTTTGGAGCTGACAGAAATTAACATGGGTTATATCAACGTTTGCCGTATGGCAAATTAAAGTGGATAAGTTTTAAAAATTCATTTAACGATAATAAACTCATTTCATTTTAACATAACTTTTTAACAAAGAAAAGAACTTTCCCAAAACGAAAGGAATTAGGCCAAAAAGTAGCCTTGTTTTACACATGCTTGCTAATCTCTGTAGTGTCCAGTTTCATCGAAGACTGCTTCTGAAGCCTGTTGCAAAGTGTTGCAATACATGAAGAGAATCAGAATGTTTGTAGTATTTTAATAACACCTTGGTGCTGTTACAGAAATAATTTTGGCCTCAGACCCCATGAAAAAAGGTCTTTAGGACTTCCAGGGGTCCTCAGATACCTTTTGAGACCTACTGACCTAGATCAGCCCCACCCACATTTTCCAATGGAGGAAATAGACCTGGAGAGCTAAAATCACCTGACTAGGGGGCACCATTGCCAGCGCCTTCAGCTCCCAGCTAGTAAATCTCAGGAGTGGAATTTGAACTCCAGTCCTCCTAGACTCTCTATCTACCATTATACCGCCGTCCTAAGGACAGGCGGATATCCAAACTGGAGGACACCTCAGAGAACATCTAGCCCATCCCTCATTTCACAAAAGAGGAAACTGAGGCCAGAGAGGAGACACAAGTTCTTCCATGAAGTAAATGTCAGAGCTGGTCTTCACATCCCCTTCCCTCCAGTTAAATCAGAAAGCTTTGTTGTCTAATTTGAGGGTCCAGGTGTATACACATGAAACAGAAAATAGTAACAATACTTCAGATACCTTGTGGTTTCATCACATCACAAGTACTCCTTTTCCCAGTGTAGATGACAATCCCTTCATGCCTTAATGAACAGTCTTTGACAGGTAAAGGTTGTGGTAACTTTTGTCCAAGGCAGTAATGAGTCTGTGTGCCAGTGCCTGGCACACAGTCGGTGCTTAATATATGTTGAGTTGCTGACTTGCATTTAGCTAGGTTGACCCCCAGGCAAGAGGCTCCTTCTCCAAGCCTTTCCATGGTGGCCCTTCACTTTTCTGAGCCTCAGTTTCCTCCACTGTCAGAAAGATGGGGATAATGACCCCCCCCACACCTACTACTGCATGGAGGCACCAGTTTTTCTCCTCTCAAGAGGAGTTAATCCCTGAAGGCTGCTGACCTCATGAAGGCTTCCTGGCTGTGTGACCCTGGGCAGAACCTGCTGGCATAACCATGTCCAGAGGAATTATTATAGTTCAGCTTTAGAAAGCACTTTGCTGTGAAGTCAGCAGTACCAGAATTACTATTCCCATTTTACAGATGAGAAACCTGATATCTAGAAATAAGAATTGTCTTGGGATGGAAGTCGATGGAGGGCCCTGAGAGCCGGCAGTCACGTGGCTCCAGGCCCAGAGCCAGGATTTGACCCAGGCTTCTCCATTCCAAATCCCAGGCTCCTTGTCACTGTACCAGCAGGAAGGATTCTGAGCAGATCATGCCTAAGTTTCCTCCTGGTCTAGACAAGTCAGGACGGCCTCCAACAGGCCATTTTGGCTTTGGAGCAAAGAGCTGGGCAGCAGCTGGCGATGAGCGCTGCTGAATCAATCTGTAGTCTCCAGGGATGTTGGACAGTGCCAGGAAACCGAGGCTCAGATCGGGAAGGGACTTGCTGTCAGCCTGGATCTCTTCACTCCCCACTTCCTCCTTCCATTTCCAGTCTACCAGTCTCTGGTATGTTGTGCTGGGGGCCTGGGGGCAACCTGCAGGCGAGAAGCCAGAACAGTGGGGGCAAGTCACAACCCCCAGTCCTCACTGACCAGCCCCGGTGTGGGCAGGAAGGCTGCTGCTCCCCTTCAGGCCCTGCCTTAAGATCATTTTGGTTTTTCTTTTTTTTTCTTTTTTTTTTTTTTTCTTTTTTTTTTGCGAGGCAGTTGTGGTTAAGTGACTTGCCCAGGGTCACAGAGCTAGTGAGTGTTATGTGTCTGAGGCTGGATTTGAACTCAGGTCCTCCTGACTCCAGGGCCGGTGCTCTATCCCCTATGGTACCACCTAGCTACCCTCATTTTGTTTTTTCTTAAGAAAACAAGCTGTATGCCTATGAAATCAAAAAGTGTCAGATATTAGGGTTGGGCCCAGATGACCCCCTAAGGCACCTTCCAGTTCTCAGGTTCTCATGAATGATAGTGAGCATTGATGCAGCGTGTTCAGGTTGGCAAAGCTTTTGACCACCCTGATCTCGTTTGACCTTCACAAGAACGCCTGATCCACTGGGTGTCCACTCCCCAGCCTCACGGGATATGTCACAACTGATCCCACATCTGGCCCACTGGATTTCCACTCCCTGGCCACGTGGGTTATGTCACAACTGA